AAATTCGATATACGTTTTAACAATAGCTCGGGAATTTCAAAGTTATACATACAATAATTCACAATCAATTGTTTTAAATAAACAGCGTTTCTAACAAGAAGTTTCAATGAATCGCTTATACACAAACTATTACCGAAGTATTCAGTATTCAAATATTTTAAAATTGATGCTCTGTGAATAATGCACATGCATAATTCATACAAACCACAACAAGAACGTGTTAATTGTGTAATTGACATTTTTTTGAAAGTCAATGTGCACAATTAAACTCTCGTAGTGATACAATACTTAGTTTCTACTTTGGAAACGCAAATAGTTTTTCTGAAGTTCTATACTTCAAATCGGTAAAAGAAAAATAATATAAATTCGATAAGAATGGTAACATATGTAAGAATTGTTCAGCATTATTATCTTTTAAATTAATTAATGATAATGATCGAAGATTAAGAAATTTAATTAATAAAAATAGTGAAAGAAATTGTACCTTCGTCTGATGATTTTAATAAAAAAATTTTATGTTCGATTTCTAGATTTGATAATATTACGTGACAAAATTGATTAAATGTTGATATTTTAAATTGAAAATTTGCCGGAGAAAGTTGCATTTTTAAGAAGGTTGCAAAAACTTTTCGCTACATGTAAAACTGTTACAATTTATGTTACAAGAGAAAGGATAATATCAGATCTGATGCGAAATAGATTTTGGGTCCCCCAATCTTTGCTGCTTCGGGACCCTCCTCACATTCTCCCATTTCTTGGACCCTCGCGCAGGATCTGGATAGAGTCATGGAAGACGAAACTTTGATTTATCATCGTAAACTTAAATCAAAGGAACAATCTAAAACATGGATAGCAAAAGAAGAAGGTCACCTAACATTAGTAAGACAATCATTCGAATGAGAACCAATGTTGGTTAATTTTTTTATGACAAATGGATCATTACTTATTCATGAATTACGTTCTGGAATATTAATCAGTACCATATATTATCGTGATGAATGTTTAAAAAGGTTTGTTAAAAGTTGCACAAACAAGACTGTCATCCACCATAAATGGCATTCAGTTGTATCATGATAGTCCAAGAGCACATATCAAGTATATTGTTTTTAATTATGTTCAAGAAGAAAAAATCAAACTTTATGGCTCATCTACCACACTTTCCTAATCTTTTTCCTTCAGAATTTCGATTGTCGAGTTGTTTGAAAAGTAAACTTGATTCGTACTCAGATGCTAAAGTTTGGCTAAAGCATTAATCAAGAAACTCAATTCAATACATGTTCATGAATATCAAAAGGCATTCTAAAAGTGGATTCAAAGGATGAAACGTTGTATTGAACATCATGGGACTTCTTCGAACATTTATTGTAAACTGATTAGCAAAATGTTTTTTTTTTTCTATGAATAAATATTTGAAAGTGCACGAATTTTTTGACTACCTTATGTAAATTTCAGTAAGTTTCAAGATTATGAATTGATACATCTTACTAGTCGTGGTTTCTGAGTAAAAAATTGCTTGATGTGCAAAACAAGCTGTAGTCTTAAAAGAACTTTGCAAGTGATATGAAGTTCTCTTGTCCATTGAGTAATCAATTTATTTGAATTATTGTCTCAATAATTAATTTTCAATAAAACTATCTAATCAACAAATATACGAGACAAATATCTGTTGTCGGATTCTGTGAAATAGGAGGTATACGAGCACATAATTTTCTTGATTTCAGAATCAACAATAGTCAGTCATTGAAAAATGTAAGTGCATTTGCTTACTATTGTCGTAAGATGTTTTTCATTCAATCGATTCCAGTGTGAGTTTTGAATTCCCATTGTGCGTTTCAATAAAGTTGATAGCTTCAATCAATAAACCTAATTTGTTAATCGTATTATTTGATGCTACGAAACTTGATTCTCTTTTAATTTCAGGTTTATGCCGCTGTTGATAATACAAAGATATAGATTCTATTTTTTGAGCTGTATTAAAAGTAATTTTTAAGTTAAGTGCCATAATATCTGGTGACTTTGTCTCGAATGATATTGTTTTTGGGACATTAATATCAATCATTTGTTCAACAACCTTTTCAATTTTAACTGCAGGAATATTTTTCTTCGATACTTGTTGTTGTTGTTGCTTTCGCTTTCGTATCATGAATTTTAGAACAGCCAATTTGTTTCTTTGTTTTATAAGTTTTATTAAAGTTTTTGTATGATGATCATCAGTCTTCGATCTTTTTTGTAGACGTCTTCTTAGAATGGATGTTCTCGTTATTGAATGTATAGGTAGCAAAATTTTTTTATCCATTAGTATGTTTGCTGTAGAATTTAGACCAACTTGAGATTTTCGTAAATCTCCTCTTTTTTCTGCCGTTTTTTCTATAGTATTTGAAAATGACAGAAATGGAAAAGCAGCATTCAATTTCGGTAAAAGAGGAGAATATATTCCAGATGGTGTATTTATGGACATCGGATTAGAAGTAAGTATATAATGATGTTCATGAGGAACAGTCAAGTAATAAGGCAAATTGTATAATAAATTGCTTGTAGAACAATTATTGATGACTTTTTGTTCAAGATCAAATTTCGGATACATCAAACGTTGCCCCGATGTTTGATATCGTTTAAAAGCGTTAGTCGTAGAATATAATGATAAATACTGTGAAACACTGATCGGTTTAGATTTATTATCAATCATAGTTGATGAAGAATTCGATGAAATTCTTAAATTAGGTTGTGATTGTGGTGTAAAATTTGGTGTTCTTACTAAATCTACTGGAAATTTATATTTATCAGGTCTTTTAAGAGTATCAATCTTAGGTGGCACTGGCAAAGACGAGCAGCAGTTCGAAAATATTGACTCAGCAGAAGTATTTAGACATTGAGATAGCTGTTGTTCTACAGTAGATCGGTGCACTCTCTTTGTGTACTCTAAATTACACAATACATGACTTGGTAAATTGAATTTTCGACAATGCAAAATTCCAGTAGCATTTCAAAAAATTTTGAAATTCTATCGGAAATTCGATAATATTGTTAGAACTCCGTAATTGCCAAAATTCTCATGGAATTACGATAATAATAATTCTGTATATTTTACTGTCCAATATCTACCAGAAATACGGCAACTATTAGTATTAATGGGTGTTTTAGGGTGTAGGTGTGGAGCTTGTCTTCAATCACACCCACATCCTGCCCTTATTAAGTTTTAACTAATTGAGTGTGGTTCTATCTACTGCAAATATTGTCCAAATATCGGTGGAAAATGGGAAATAAAACACCTAGCAACAATGGTTATTATCGTAATTCCGAAAGAATTTCGACAATTGCGGAACCTCGACAATATTGTTGAAATTCCGATTGTCGAAACTCCATGGAACCAATGGCTTTTTAGTGAATTTATGAGTCGTGTATTCTTTTACTTCGTTTTATTTTGATCGGTGGAATACCAGATGTTGTTGTTGATGATAAAGATACTGGTGGTAAAGAACAAGGCTGTGCCAACGTATTCTGTTCACGTGTAACGAAGCATGGTTGGAACAGATTTTCATATTTTGTTTCCTGAGTTGATACGTCAGATAGAGGTCTTTCACAAAATATATTCTTTAACGATGGATTCAGCTCTGATAATTGCATTTTTGCTGTTGTTTCCGTCATTAAAATTGAATTGAAGGTTTGTGCAGATGCGCTAGATTCCAGAGAAGGAAATTCAGAGTTTAAGGAAATGGATAATGGTAGAGTTTGATGAAGATTGCTGTTGTAATTGGCTAGATATTGACCAGGTTGTAAATGATATCCAAATGTCATCATTTTATTATTTATATCCTGCTCAGTTTTGAAAGGAACCATATATTCGTGTGCTAGCGTTGAATGAATATGATGATCAACATGTCTAGGGTGATGTTGTTTGGATGAAATATGTTTATTTATATTCGATGATAAGAAATACATTTGTGATTGATTTCCATTCGGAAGTGCCATCTCAGTTGGTAACATTTTCAGTTCTATAATAATGAATAAATCAAAACAAAAATTGTAAATGATTTACAAAGTTCACTACGAATAGAACTTTGTTCTATGCGGTCTAACATTCAAGTTTTATCAAGGTACTCGAAGCAAAAGGGCACAGATATCATATCTAATTGAAAATGAAAGACGAAAGAGTTATCTATACATCAGTGGTATATACTTTTTGGAGCTATATTTTCATAATTCAAATAAGAGAAGCAACAAAGTGCGTTTTTTTTCATTTTAAAAATAGAATATTTGCAATTGAAGCTTAGTACGTTGTCGCATGTTTCTATAAAATACATTTTAATTGTATTAACACATATAATCAATATTGATTTTTGAAGGAGAAAAGACTAAGTAGAAGGGAAGAGTACATGTAATTTCAATACGTAATAAGATTAGTTATAATATTTGACTGGTGAAATTTCGTGAAAGAACGATAAGAGCAAGGGTAACAAGACTAACTAAATAAAAAAAAACAACGAATTGTTTAGCAAAGCTGAAACATATCTAGAAGAACAGGCAAATGTTGATATTGTAAAAATTGAAGAAGAAGAATCGCATTGTAATTATTATGCTTTTACTATATAGTCAGTGCTAAATGCTAAATTATATTTATATATCTACTTGTTTATTGACTATTGAGAAGAGTAATAGAGAAAAAACATAGCCGAAAATAGTTTTCTTTCGATAAAATGCAACTTACGAGAGAACTCCACCAACTGATACACTCCGTTTAGGTTCACATTTTGCTCATAGGTAGGGCTCATAGTGTAGATACAAATCCTTAAAGGATTCTTTTCATTAGGTCCTTGTTCTTCAGTTATGATCATCTTACTGATTTCCTCACCTATTGATTGCAAGGTATTACGAGCAAAATCAAATCAAGGAATTTTAATCTAAAATTTTGCCTAACATCGATCTCATGACCCTTATAATATCCTGCAAATTTCAATCAAAATGGACGATTTCTTTTCCAGATGTTGAATGCTACTAGTGGTTGACCAAAAGTTCTGACCATGGCATTTAGAGGATCTTGTCGGATAAGGTGACCTCTTCAGAAGTGAAAAATCAAATATACCATGTTGTAGAACTTTTTGAGGTGCGTCGGATAGTATATAGTAAATCCTGTTTTCATAAGACTTTGAAGGAACTAGAGTCCATTCACTGATAGACGATTGTACAATCACATTCACACCCACACCCAAGCATCATAAATTACTAAGTACTGTGATCCTTGGTATTAGTCGAAAGTATTTTTAAAATATTTTTCTCACATATGATTTTGTAGAGTTTTTGACGGGCTATAACCTCATATACGTAGCATGTCTGGTCGTCTTCTGAGTGTGGGTGTCGGTGTGTAATTATCTATCAGTAAACTGATTCTAGTCTCTTCAAAGGCTTACGAAAACAAGTTTACTATATATTAATCGATGTGTCTCAAAAAAGCTCTACAACATGGTACATTTGATTTTTCACTTCTGAATAGATCACCTTATCCGGCAAGGTCCTTAAAGTGCTGTGGTCAGAACTTTTGGTCAATTCTAAGTGAATAAAACGAGTTTTCACGGATTTTTTTATGAGAAAAAGTCTTTTTTGCACACTTGTCATCTCGGTAATAGAGCATCCATTTTGGCTGAAGTGTGAGACCACGTTACCAACAACTTTTAAAAATTTCCGAAGGATCAGGAAATTTTAGGAGATCTTCACCACCCTCTGCCATCTTCTCCGTTTTATGGCATTACCATTAAGCTGGGCGCCATCAAGGCATTATTTAAATGTATAATCAATATGACAGAGAAAGAAATACTGGTTCTGATTCGATTTACAATGAAGAAGTCTGGAAATTAAACAGAATTTTATTTAGTCTGTTTAACACTTTTTGCTAAGATTATATTTACATTTATTCTTGTTACTAATCTTCATTGAATAGCTCATGATATATTAAAATTAAAAATATATTTATTCAAAATATCGTTAACTGCAGGTGTTTTAGTAGGCAATACAGTAAAATCTCTATATAGAAAACATTATGGAAACTCTTAAGAAACGTTCACTGTACAGAAATGTTCAGTTTAGAGATTTGACGCATAGCTAGTTGTGGAATGAAGAAAAGCTTCCAGGATGGCTGGGTCTATATTAATCTTAAATAAAGGCTAGCAATTTATTCTTTTGTTTATCTATTTTCATCTAAATGATTTGAATTGAAAGATTTTTCAATTAGAAAATAAAATGTTGTTTTTCTTTTCAAAAGTCTTTCCATGTTTTTCGTCTTTTTGCTTTTGAATTAATATCAACATCAATTAGTGTGGATTTCAATTCAATAAATAATTCGATGTTTTTACTTGCATACTAAGCTCTTGTTGTTATATCATGATTTTATTCATACGTACAATAGTAAATTCATAGATAAAATATACTTAACCGTAATATACATGAAACAGGTTATAGACAGTAGAAAGAGGACAAGAAAACGTTGTACGTGTGTCACACATTGGAAAGATTATATAATAGAAAGAGGAACCGAAAAAAGTGTTCACTGTTCAGCATAAGGAGATGTTCACATAGATGAGAAGCGTTTCCAGCAATAGATGCTCGGTCAAATTCGAGATCGTTCATAATTACAAGGTATTCACTTTAAAGAGATTTGATTGTACAAAGTTTATTTGTTTAAAAGTTAAATTCAGAATAAGTGATTATTTATAGTTCTTGAATAGTAACTATTACGAATGTACGTCCTCATTACAAAAAAAAACATTTGGATAATTTTATTTGATATAAAATTCGACTATTTTTACGTAACTAATGATCAATCAAAGGCTAAATAGAATTTTTCTACGCCAACCGTTTTTCAAAAAAAAATATATATCGACTTTTTTTGTGTTCATGTATGAATTCAATCACTAATTATCCTTCTCTTAATATAGACTAGAGTCCATCGAATTAGTTCCGGACTCAGGCGGGTTTGGATCTGAAAACCTTGGACTCACTGAGTTCTACTCGTCTGAGACATGTGTAGAGTACGGTAGTTACCAAATACAAAAAAACCACAAAAAGTATCTTGTCTATTCGAGGCGACTACCCAATTCCGGTAAGAAAATTTCATTGAGAGTATCGAAGTACGATTCGATCGAATCTGAGTCCCGGCCCCCAAAACGTTCAATAAGCCGGATCGGAAAATTTTGAACGCGACAAGCTTCACTACACTCTAACTTTCTAATCGTCTTTTTTTATTATATTATTCATGATTTTCCAGTAACTAACACCAAAAGTTCATATGCGTTAATTATCACTCTATTCACAAGGAATCATCCATATAAATTATTTTTACAAATACGACTTCATATAGTCTTTCTCTCAATCAAACTTCATTGCTTCAATCCATAAAATTACAATAATCGATTGCGGAATATTCATTATATCATAACAACTCCTAATTTATTTATACATACAACCCATAATTTTTTATTTATTAAAAAACAAGACGCAAAGAAAAAAAAAGGATTATCAAAACGACACACACACACGTACAAAGAAATTCTAAACACAGTGAAAATCAAAAAAAAAAAAATAAATAACATTCATCCCTGAGTCTAGGTTTCGTCTATCAGCATCATTAATTAGAAAAAGAAAAAGAAAATGAATAATAATTATCAGACATCAAGTTTCAAATACATTTAACAATGTACGTCCAATGATTTTTGTTTTGTTTTGTTTTGTTTTTTATTAATTGAAATCACCGGTAAAATCTTAGTTAAAATAAATCAATTTATTTTGTTTTTTTTTTCTTTTATGTTTTCATTTTAAATATAAAATTTGTTGGATCATCAATTATTTCTGGATAAATCAATGGATCATATCGATAAACAATAGTATAATTAGTTAAATAACCATTACTTATTAATTCATCAATTTCATTTTGTGACCATGTATATAAATAATATAAACGAAAATTTTCCATTAAATATGTTCGTTCATATTGCCAAACATTTTTTATCATTTGTGATAAATTATTATCAATTAAATATTGATATTCATCATCATATGTTGAACCAAATTTAATATGAAATATAGTTGTATTACTTATAATTAAGTCCATATCGATAAGATTATTTATATTTGTTTGTTGTCGTATGTTTATTTTAAATTGATGAAATAATGGTTGATTAAGATAAGATTTTAATTGTTGATAACTATTTAAATTCTGAAGAACATATATATGATTTTGTTGACGATATGGAATTAAATATGATTGATTAAAAAGTATAGAAAATAAATCATCATATAATGTAAATGAAATAAATTCTATTTGATTATTTGAATTTATTGATAATGTACGATTGATCCAAAAATCATTTTCATTTTGAATATGTGCTATTGAATAAGTAAATTTATTTGGATAATTTATTGTATAATGTTCATTAAAATATGAAAAAAATGATGAATAAATTAATGAATTATCTTCAAGAATTGTATTTTGATTATTAAAATACGGTGAAGATAACATTGAATCATATAGATTTGTAAAATCATAATTTAGATTTTGTAATTGACTAAGAATGTCTAAAAATATTAAGATAAAATTTTTTTTAAGGATTCCTCATCAATGAGAGTTTATTTAGATTTACTTGAAAAACAAAACTATGTTTGGTATTTGTTTTACATAGTTTCGTAGATTCAGTTTTTTTTTACACCAGGTTTTCTCTTTCGGAGAAGTGATTTAAAACTCTAAGAGGGTAGACATCTTGTTTTGGTAGCACAGCCACTGAGTACGTGGTACAATAACCGCAAACTCTGGGACAGTCAATCCGATTTTTGGAGCGGCACTGTTCCCTGGGTAAAACACTTCAGATGAATATTTGAATATCGACTTTATTTTAATTCCTTAGATTTAACTGAGTGCAGAATATTCTATTGCCAATATTTTACAAGTACTTACGTGTTTAAATAATGAATATTTCAGAATTCGGTACTTAATGAACTTG